AGAAAAAAACATTGTGCGTCTAGCCGCTGGCGTTTTTCACCGTTGACCCAGCAAAAACGCGGCGGGGACATAGTAAGAAAATTTTCAAGCTCAGAGCACACACATTCATTGGACAAAATTTTTCTCATTTCGGGTAGTAGCTGCGTGGAATGGCCTTCCTCCGACGGTTGTTAGCGCTCCTTCTAGAACTCGGTTTAAAGCACTAGTAGACATAAATTTATGCGAATCCTCGCGCTTGCGAGGAAACTGCCACGCACTGAGAATATGATGAGCATCGTTACACCCTTTTTTCACTTGTGCCTTCCAGGTGAACGACAGCCACTGACCGACAAGAACAAAAGCGACCCGGGAAACTTGGGCAATAGCCTCGATCCTGTGTATCATTCCTTGAATAAGTGACTCTACATGTATTAAATTAAATCTCTAGGTCAAACGATGAATGACTCTTTAGCGACCTTCGCGAATTCATGAATCAATGGTTGAATGAGAACCAAATTTTGGTTAATAAGTTTTCTTTTTTTGTTATTCCGGACTACACGTAAGAGTTGTGGAGTTTGAGCATTTTTTACAGATGAATACCTTACAGAGTTTGGAAACACTCGATGTGAGTATTATCCATTCCTTCACATTAACCCTGAATAGTCTGCCGAAGCGGACTACAAAATATCGGAGGTTTCCCGCCTAATGGATCCCTGGATATCCTCAGGAGATTGTTTGGAAACAATTGTACGCATGTAATAGGAAACGTGGTCATCAGCGACCTAGCAACAGGTGGTGAGTTGTCAAAATCAAACCAGAACCAACAGGTTCTGACGCAGTATTCGATATATTTTCAAGTATGAATGGTCGTTTACATGTAAGGAATCCTCATTTTAACCATCAAATTGCAAAACTGTGTGTGTTATGTTTCGCAGTACCGTTATCGGGATTCACTGAGCCTGGACGAAAATGACACTAGGATTATTCCTGTTGTAGAAGACTTGTACAGCTGCCCTGTAAAGACACGTCTAAAAAAAACCTTCACGCCCTTGTGGTCTGCCGTGGTTATTAGAAGATTTTGCGTGAGAACTGTTCTCCCAATGCCAGGTGTACTTATTGTAAACGGCTACAACCATAAGGTGTATTGTAGAAAAGTTCATTTGTCTCAGAGTTTTACAAGGAGGTTACCGAATTTTATCTCTATAGATATGTATACATGTTTCAGGTTTTGCTGAAACTAAACGGGTGAAAGACAATGCAAATTTCGCTATATCTTGGCTGCTTCTAACTTCGACTGAAATAAAATATCTTTGGAATTGTACCGGAATATTCGTAGCTAGGAAAACAGATCCACAGCCACCTGGTAAACTATGAATGGAGTATGTTCAAAAAAGTGTAGCGAATATATCCGCATCCAATTGAACAAGATCAGTGTTATATACATATATATATATAACAAAGTGTACAAATGAGGTTTGAAGAATGACAGTCTTTCTAAGAGGGGATGACCTTGGAAATAATTAACTACGGGCTATATATTTACATAAACATTATTATTCTGCCGGCTGGCCACTTAGTTACATGTTTATGTTTTTGCGTAGCTCCGCTCAGAATAGGGCCTTTGGAAACGACGCCAAACATGTGGAAGTGCTGATAAAAAATGCCCTCGAGAACAAGTGTTTAGAAGTATTAGCAAGAAACCCATATTCATTATGCAGGAGCCCGTTCCTTCTGATAATCCTTTCTGTTCAATTATTCGAGGAGGCAGTCGCGCGTCACGAGTTGCTCAGCAGGCGACTTCCAAAATTTGCTTAAAAGCAACTTGGGGAAATTCGGGTGCGTATGAATAAGTAAATAAGCTTGAACTACAAACGAGGTTTATGATAGGCCGACATAGAACAAATCAGGGTAAGAGGCGCCAGTGCTCACAATTAAGGGCACATAAAAGCAATGAGACGAAAGCAAGTATTATGAGTTGCCGGAGCATTTTATGGCTAGAATTGAAACTCTGCGTTTAGATGGGACTTTCACCTGTTTTGGAGGCTGGGTGGTAAAGCACTTTGGGCCCGTGTTCCAACTCACTACCGGATGTGAGAAAACAAAAGTAAACATATTGTGAATGGCTATGAGTAAAGATTTAACCAGCCGTTTTGTGGTTGGTTACAAAGTTGGAAACGATTGCACTTTGAGACTTAGCATCTTGACGCACGAAACTCAGGAGTAGAAAATTCAAGGTAGTTGAATCATTGCAGCTCTTTGTGGAATTGCTTGCTGCTCTTTCTGGAACACCGGCGTAGACTCCGACCACGCACTAGTGCTTTCATTGTGCTTTCAGTTGTACGCAAAACGCGCACACCCCGCTTAGCCATCGAGAAGCTAGTGGCGTCATAAGTCAAAAGAAAATATCAGAACAAGCTCCTCGAATGCCTGCCGAATGGTATGGTGTCAGATATAAACGGCCACTTTGTAAAGACATCCAAAGCGCTACTCAAAGCCGGAACGTCTGTTTACTGTGCAACCCAGCAAAGTTCATTCGAACATTGGATCTCTGATAGGAACGTATGTTTGCAGGAGTCTCAGCGACAGATTCTACCTGGCCGCCAGCACAACTCCACCCGACGCATCGTCCGACCCCGGATAAATCTGAGTGTCCGTGCAGACCGAGAAGCTTGATTGACCCGAAAGGCCGAAGAAATCGAAGATGCAAATAATGCTGGAAACGTTCGCAAGGTGTTTCAATTGATTCGTTCGACTAGTCCTTAAAAATATCTTTTCAGCGAAATAATCAGAGACCAAAATGGCTTCCTGATTTACAGCAAGGCAGGACGTTCGTACCGCTGGGCACAATACTTTGAACAGCAACTCTGTTGACCACCTGCTACCTCCAATCCAGAATTCCGGCCTTCAGCAGAAAAGTGGACCCTGGACATGGAGCCATCGTGAGTCTCAGAGTATTTCTCTACCTAAGCATCACCCTGCTGCTGGTCCTAACCTCCATCCACATCCGCTTGCAGGGATGGTGTTGGTCTTCACAGCAAGTGCCTGGTTATCCCATTTGGGTCTTTTGGAGAGGAAAAACCGTCCCAGACAACTGAGGTGAATTGATAGTAGTGCATATTTTTAAAAAACGTACTCCTAGTGAATGCAGTAACTATAGATGTGTTAGTTTGACTCACGCTGTGACAAGGCTTCTGGCATCACTGATTCTTCGTCTTCTTATGGTGGCACGCGAAACCTTGACCATTGGGAATCAAGTGGGATTTGGACTGAGTAGAGGCTGCGTTGACTACACCTTCACAATCCGCCTCATGAACAGACTACCCACAATATTGGTATTACTTGACTTCAAGGGTGCGTTTGATTATGTTGACCGATCAGTGCTGTTAACTACAACTGCTAAACAGGGCATGTCTCAGAAATACGTAAACATAGTCCAATCCCCGTATTCACATACTTCTGGCGGGTGTGTATGATGAACTCCCCAAAAGCTTCATTAAAAACGTGATGTCAGACAAGGATGTCCAATTTTACCATTCCTGTTCAACCACGTCATCGATGAAATAATGAGGCGAACGCTAGGCGGTCTTCAAAACCTCAGTGTCCAAACTCTTGGCCGTGAGAGCCATGTCGATCTGAAATGCACAGATGACATCCCCCCATCTTTGAAGACCAAAGAGGAGTGCAAGCCCTGTTGCGTGAACTAACCACCGTCGTGCCATCTTTCGGCATGCGCCTTACAAATCCAAAGTGTGAATTTACGCTTCAGAACGTGCCATCTGCGAACATATCCTTTGCGGTTCAAGTAGAATCACTGGAAAATGTGAAAAACTCTGCATACCTCGGTATTTGAATTTCTCTGACGGAAGTGTGTCTGATGAAATCAGTGCAACAATCTCAAAGGATCGAAATGTGTTTGCTTGTTCGCGTTACTTGTGGTGTCAAAAAGACAACCCGCTAGATCTCAAGGGTTGTGTGCACCAGGATACGGTAAGGGTTGTGTTGTTGTATTGGTGCGAGATATGGCCTCTGTGGACATATGATGTGTGGCGTCTTTAGGTGTTTGACCACCAATGCATCAGAAGCGTGGACGATTTTTGGTGGCTTGGGTGTGTTATTAACAAGGTGATTAAAAAACGGGTATTTGATTGTGCTGCAGGTACTTCAATCCGGGACAACGTTTAGCACCACCGACTACGATGGCTTGGTCACGTGTGACGCATTCCAAAACACCGTCTGTCGAAACGAGTGTTGTTCTTCGTGCCTCCTTCAGAGTGGCGTAAGCCGCGAGTAAGACAGCGTACGATTTGGCAGAAAGGCGTGAAATAGATACAGAAGATTTTGGGTGTTGTTGGTGTTGTACGCCTTTTAGGATGGGGTCCGTGTGATACAATCTGTACTTCGCTGAAGACGTTGCAAGAAATGGCTGCTAGTCGATGTCAGTGGCGTTTCTGCTGCCAGTATCTTCCAAGACTGTCCGACTGACTGGTTGGAGGTGTGGGCACCTCAAAATGCCTGACATATGCAGGCACTAGGTCACATCCCTCACCCACTCTTTTTTTCGATCTAGGGCTTTTATTATGATCATATACATATATATAATTAGATGAACCTTATGGTTGTACGGTAGTGAAGCATCAGTGTCAACGTTAACGTTGCTGTCTTTGGTGATGATGATGGCAGGACTAAGGGCATGCTGCTTATCTTTAACGACTCAAAGATAAACCCTTTGACAATTGAAGGTGAGACTACCATCCATGTTTGATTGGAAATTGTGTAGGGTTAAAAAGCAATGAACGCCAAGGAAACAGGTGCTTTGACAGCAGAAAAATTCTTAGGCCAAATTGTCTATCATACCTATCTTTTGTTCAATTTTTGCAGTGAAAAACGGTTATGTAAACTTCAACGGAGTAGCGATTGGGATAGTAAGTGGATGTCTCACCGTGAAAACTTAAAACAAATTGGTGGCCAAAAGATCAAAACCATAAACCTCAACCGATTTCTTTATGCTGTTCAGTTAGGGTTACCTATGATTCTTATCCTTCGGAAGCCTAACGTTTGTGTTCACAAATTTAGCAGGGCTATTTTGCACTGAACTGTGTCCGTCGATATAAATAAGCAAGTGGCTGAAAAGTAACGCAAACCAAATCTCGCTAACATTTCGGAACACTGCGTTGTTTTTTATGGAAACAACGGCGTTAGTAAACCATGATACCACCATGGTCCGCGGCTAAAAGACAGGTTACTAAAGAAACGAGGAGATTTCATTTGATCAAAACAGTTCTATAAGAGCTTAAATGAAGTTCACGATCAGTACAGTTAAGTTTGTATTTTGTATTTAGAAGTGACATTTCTCTTTACTTCATTTCATTCTGCTTTCCCGATTCCGTCGTACTTTATTCGTAAAAAATATACTTTTGTACTTGTTTAAATATAAGCGCATACTGAGGTTGGGCGGACTGATATTTGTGACAGGCATATATATATATATATGTTTACCAGAGTAACCCGCCGGTATAGAATATGTATCTATATGTATATATATATGTATATGTATATTCAGCTAAACTACGACTTTAAGCTTCATTTAAAAACACTGCTAAAACTACCGACAGATAAAGTAATCTTTTAACCTAGCGCCTCAGTCCGAAAAGAAATTTCAAAATGAGGGGATGTGTTTATGCCCTATAAAGTATTTCCTTATAGATAATAAAATGCTATGCCTGGATGAGGATTTTGATAGTTATGTTCATAGTAGTCATGCGACTTTGCTGATCATATCAGGAAATTTTTGGGTA